ACTGCATGCCCTATCGCACCCTCAACACCTTCAACACCTTTTTTCGTACTCGTCGAAACACAAGTCCTTTCCTCGCACATCTCCGCTCTCCCTTTTCTACAGGATGACACAATTTCTAGAATCTTTAGAACCTTTTTAATCGCTGAAACACTTAGGTTTGATTTCGATAGCAAATTTTCGAATCTCTTATAGCTTCGAGCATATACATCTAGGGCATCCAGGGCAGGGCCGACCCTAAGATTCTCAAAATTTTAAGAGGCCCTAGGCAAATTTTTAAATGCAAGACCTTTATATATAAGGTTTCACCTGTGCAAAAAATTTATAAGAGTGCAAAATTTTCATTAAAACGAATTATAAGCACCAAGTCCGAATTTTTCATTACAATGAACAATAAGCACTAAGGGCGACTTGAAATAATTTGGGAATTTAGGCGAAAATTAAACATTTATAAGAGTGCTAAATTTTTATTAAAACAAACAATAAACACCAAAGACAGCTCGAAATAATTTGGGGGCCTTAAGCAATAAATAAAAAGTGACATTTTAATAATATATTAATATTAAATAATATTTATTTAAAAATCATCCTTCTTACTTTTGTGAAATTAAAAATTACTAATTAGATTTATATATAAATACACAAATTTATAATAACAAAAGTTAATAAAACTAAAAAATAATTAAAGAAAAAGAACAATAAAACCTAATTTACAAAACCCCAATCCAATGCTCCTACAAATTCTTCAATAGAATAAAAATGGGTTCAAATTGAAAGCAATGAGTGCTGAGTGAAGAAAATAGAGAACAATAAATACGTAATGAGAGATGTGAGAGACCACTTGTTGAGAGAAAAATAATATGAAAAAAAGAAAAATTTAGTGTTGTTGTAAAAAATACCGAATGAGATAGATAGAAAAAAAAAGAAAAAGAAGAAAAAAAAAAAAGAAGTTATTTAAGAATATAAATATTTGGGACTAATATTAAGAGTGAGAAGAAAAAATTATTTAAGAATATAAATATTTGGAATCAATATTAGAATTCTATAAGAGGAAGAGATAGGAAGAAAAAAAAAATCATTTATGGATATAAATCTTTAGGGCCAATATTTCTGTATTGGTTAGAGTTTAGTTTTAAAATGTGAATGAGGAGAAGAGAGAAAAGAGAGAAAATAAAAAATTATTTTAGTATATAAATTTTTGAGACCCAGTATTAAATTTTTATATTGATTATATTTGTAAAAATATTAGAAAATAATTATAATATAACATATATAGAAAATTTTAAAATTTTGAGACATCTCTATGAGACATTTATATAAATATTTAATTTACATACTAAAAACAAATTTAATTTATAAACTTTAAAATAAAAAAATTTACAAACAATACATTTACATATATAATAAAACATGTAATATGTAATTACGTAAATTGAAAAAATATGTAATTAAATATCAGGCATTTTTTTATAAAAAAAATTGACAGATTAGAAATTTCTTGAATTACAAATTACAAAGTTAATCAAATATAATTGTGTAAAACCAAAATTTCAAATTTACACATAATTTTAAATTTTACAAAATCAATTTCCACATCAATATAAATTAAACTAAATTAAAAAAAAATTGGAAAATTAAAAATCTAAACACTTAATTATAATTTAATATTTTCATGTTCAATACATTTGATTTTAATTTATAAATTAGTAACTTACAAATATGCCCCAAATTTGCATAATACACGCAACACATGGACAAAAAGAGAGCAAGAAACAGAGATCCAAATCCAAACCCCACTCTCTCTATAATCCCCCCAAAAATAAAAATTTGGAATTCAGGCTAATGGGTTTCGACATCCAACTCTTCCATGCCGACTTCGATGGATTTTTGGTCATTCCTCGTTCCAGGTCAGTCCTCTCCGTCTTCAACGTCAAGTACACTGCCATGTTTTAAATTCTTGATCAATTGTACTAGATGTATACATATGAGCGATGATGAACAATAATTTGAAGATGAGGACGGATGCTCTCTCCATCTTTCTTGAAGGTTTGTGGTTTCTCTTTCTATCAATTGTATTATATATATATATATATATATATATATATATATATATAATGGCAATATATCTATCAATTGTGTATATGATGAAGATTAGGGTTTCACATGGAGTGGTAGGGGTTTAAATTCGTGTTAGTGTGACATAGATATTCAGTTATATGGGTGGACACGAATACTTGTGTTAAAAAACTTAGACACTAACACCATAAGTTAATATTACTCCCATCTCTAGAATGCAGCTCCTACGCTCTCGTAATAGCATCACTATTGGAAGAACCTGTTACACCAAAATATGTCGTCCATACAACAACAACTACACCTGAAACCCAAGCCAATTTGCAAGGATTCATTTACTCCATCACAAACACAAAGTCTTTACGGAGCCATTAGTCTAAAACAGTTGAAAATGTTTGGAATATATAAAATTTTAGTGAGTTATTAATTTAAATTATATTCGTAACACATTTGGAGAAATGCATCCAGTATCTCCTATGGGTCTGATTTAAAATTCGCAACATGTAAATTAGACATACCAGAATTTTTTTTATTTATTTCCTATAACTAGTGAATTACTATTATATCAATTTTATGACAAAATAAAATGTTCACTTGTCTTTTATTCGTTTTCAATATATTTCTAGACATTATGAAATGTTTCTATCCTTTACTTTTATCCGTTGTTGTCTTTTTTTTTTCCTTTTCTTATGCTTTAAGACAATATAAAAATGATAATACTTGCCCACTCACAAGTGAGTAGTGAGTTCTTACTTACCACCAATTTGGCAAAAAATGAAGTGACAAGTCATCTTTTTAATATAAATAAATAAAAAATAAAAAATTTGGAAGGGTATCGGGTTAATCTTAATAATAAACCGAATTTAAATTAAATCCCTAAGTAGTACACAGTCTTTTTACAAGCCATGATAACCATTCTAGTCATCCATAGAAACAATTGCTGAGAATTTATACAGTATACATTCATAATATTTGTGTGTGTATATATATATACACATATAACAAGCCTATGGAATTGGAAACATTAGAAAGAACTTGTTGTTTAACCCAAGGGGAGAGGCTGTGATGTATGAGACTATCCAATCATAGAATACAAATGGGTCGTAAACAAGTTGAGAAGGAAACAGAAGCAATAGAAACAACAAGAAATGGGTATGTATGAGGGCATTGGATTGGATAAATTCGCTGCACGACAGGTGTGTTCTGATTCTTCTCTCTGTTTATTAATTCTTCGATTTTTATTTATTTGAGTATTTTTGTGCTTATGAATGTCAAATTATCAATCAACCGAGAAAGAAAGAAAGGGTATTTGGGGAGTGAATTAGGGAACCACGAATATTTGCAGGTGGTTCATTGTCAGCTACAGTAGTGTAAGAGGGGGAGTGAATTAGGGACGTAATTTGGATCCAATTTGTTGTTGGTTTAACCCTGTACTCTTTCAAATCTTTTATTCTTTATTTCTATATATACTACAAAGACACTTGTCATTTTATCTTTATCTCACATCAAATTTGCTAGTAGGCAAATATTGTTCATATAAAAATTATTATTTTCACTGAAGTTGTTTTGTGTTTATATGGTTTCTAGGGAAAGAATTTTAAAAAAAAGCCACTACAAATTGAACCAATAAAAACAGCAGAATTCCTACAATTAGTTCTTTTAACCAGGATCAAAGTACATTCACAAATAAATACATATATAATAACATGAACAATACATACCTCCTCACGCACGAGAAAGAACTTTTCTCACAATTGACAGGAATTGTTCTAATAATAAAACTAATGACAGGAAAATTATATTAGAGGCTTTCTTCATGTAGAGGTGTAGTGGTAGGATTCACCATGATTTGTTTCTTCTGTTTTGGTGCCACAGACATGAATGCCCTAATAGCAGGCTTAACCTTCTCAACCATCTTGACCATAATGAAGAAAACCAACCTATAGAGAACCAACATCCCAAACAAAATGGCAAGGTCAATCCACTTGGAGTAACCTGTTTCCACTTGAAATGTCTTTCTCAGAATATATTCGCCAGTGATGGTATGTGTTGCTCTGCCTTCACTAGTATGAAATTTGAGTCCTTCAAACTCATTTTTGTACAATCCTTGATATGTATACTTGTGGTAGGCAATGTAGTATATAGGGTATCTCCAGAATATGTTCGGAAGATCATTTGGTAACCTAAAAAACCCTCCACCTAATATCAGTAGCCCTTCTAACCTTGCACCAGTTATTATGCCCATTAGGAAATTGGGCACTACACTTGCCACGATCATCATTAGGCTCTCAACCAACATCATACAAGCGAAAAACACCAAAGTAAAGTACGTGAATTGTTCGTATCCTCTTTGAAGTCTTGTGAGGAAATAAGCAATTGATCCGGGAATCAGTGATATAAGCAACAATTATGGCACAGAAGAAAGTGTGTTGCCAATAGCAAATGCACCCGAACCATAGTACCCATTTAATCTTTCTCGTTCAAATACCTGCAGGTTATTATCAAATAGCTTTTAGGCATTGCATTCAACTAGTTTGAAGCATTTCACTAAGAAACTAAAAGTTTTTAGGATTGAAGAATTATGATGATTTTACCTTCATATCCTCCACAAATGAAGGGAATCCACCAATTGCCATGAATGTTAAGAGTGAGGCACAAACCATAAGCATTGCACCTCTAGCCTGAAACAATGGGAACCGTATACAATGATTAATTTAGGTTTATGTTAAAGTACAATTAATGATCAAATTACATCGTGATCATCTCATGTTCTTACCTGTAGTGAAGCATAACTTGAGCCAACATTGTAGTAGATTGTGCCAAGACATAAGGCTATTATGACATAGATACCAAGTCGCAGCCAGTAGTAGCCAAGATCACGATACATGTTCACGAAAGACCTTCTCGTGAGAACGAGACATTGGGTAAGGAAATTAGCATGGCTTCTTTTCATCAAAGCTCCACCTCCCTGAAAATGCACTTATATATACTATCATTCTATGGCAGTGGTATGTACACTTGAACCTGAGCAATGTTTGATTAATTTAGTTATGTAATTGTCTATGTATTTGACAATTTGAAAGAAGTAATAATATCCTATGATCAGTGAATTGTTTGCTGACCAGTTTGCATATTTCAGCTACCTGCCTTCGAACTTCTGGAAAACTATTAGATGATTTATACGAGTTTATAAGAGCAATAATTGCTTCCTCTCTGCATATGTTTCCTGCTGAACCTTGTTCAATTTCCTGTATCAACGATAACTAACAATTTATCAAAATTCTTGGTCATTGAAGCTTTAAACTTAAATAATTTAGTATTAAGACTTGTTAAATTGTGCTAAGAAAATACAAAATATATAATTACCTCATCAAAATCCTTGTTGATTGTTTTAAGAAAGTGATCAGCATGGTTCACAAGGGTCGGGCAAGGGAAGCCATTCAATGCAAGAAACTACATCATGAAGAATGCAAGTGTGATTAATTAGTTGCATATATATATATATATATGCAAATTATACAGTACTGCATTGGACAGTCTAGATAATTTCACACACTACTGTGTGTGAAACGATTATAACACGCCTGCGTGTTGTACAGCAGAGGATCTTGACTCAGCTACTAAAAGCTTACAATTACCTCATTTGCCTCGCTAGCAGTGCCAAAGTATACGGTTCTGCCTGAAGAAAGAAGACACAGATTGTGGAAGAGTGCGAAGATTTCGGTGCTTGGCTGATGAATGGAAGTGATGACAGTCCTTCCATCCTTCCGATCGAGCTCTGCAATTCGTTTCATGACATAGTATGACGCGGCGTTGTCAAGGCCACTTGTTGGTTCATCAAGGAAGAGAAGCTTTGGGCGTGTTAGGATCTCTTTGCATATGCTAACTCTCCTCTTTTGTCCACCATTAATGCCCTTAGCACCCCATCCTCCAATCCTTGTGTTCACACAGTCCTACAAGCCCATCTCTTTAATGGTCATTTCTGCCCTCTCCCTCTTCTCAGATTCGGACATGGAATTTGTTAGTTGGAGCTGAGCAGAGTAGTAAACTGCTTCTCTAACCGTTAGGGTTGTTATTAAAGTATCATCTTGTGTTACATAAGCCTATTTGGGTAAAAAAAAAAAAAAAAATTCAGTATAAATAAGTAGTCTAGACATGTAGGGCTGGAAATGAAACGAGTTGATGAAGACTGACTGGAATTCATTCGTTAACTAAACAAGTTTTTTAGCTCCATTAGTAAAACAGCCGATCTGAACATTCATAAATATAGGTTTGTTGTATATAATTATGAACTTTTTGAGCTAATGACAATCCCAAACTGAATGACAAACAAACGGGTCTGAGCTTGAATAGACTGAAACTTGACTCGACTTGATTCATTTACAACTCTATGAAGATATTTATAACCATATTGATTACTCTTTAGGGTCTATAGATGAATCAAGAAAATGTAATTATCTTAATCATTTTCCTTACCGAGGTTCCGTAAGCCAATGCTTGTTTGCAACCATTAATCAAAATCTGGCCGGCTTGTCTTGTGTTTGAGTCTAATCTCCCTGCAATATGAGTTAAAGTTATGGTGCTATTTACCATAGGATCATCAACTAACTGCCATACTTATCTAAAAATAGCTCATAATTTAATTTATTTTTTGTTAGGTAAATACTTTCACAACTACAGATGCACGGTCTGGGACTCAACCCCTCACTTCCTCAAAAGGGAGGAGTGTTATACCGCTCTAATGAACAGGTAAAAATAACTCATAATTTAATTCATTTTTTATTAGGTAAATACTCACACGTCTACACATGCACGGTATGGACTCAACCCTTTACTTTTTTCAAAAGAGAAGAGAGGTTATACCAGCTAGTCTAATGAACGTGTAAAAATAGCTCATAATCGGTAGATTTTATATATTTTTATCAAATACACATCATATGATTGTTTATAAGTCTCTTTCACTTTCCTTTCTATTCAAAGTAACAAGAAAAACAGGTCATTGGAAAAGGAAAACTAGACATAAAATTCAACAATAGACTAATCATTCTCGGATCATTAAATTTTTTGCTTCTGTATCATGTATATTTGTGGCCATCATTTGGCAGGTAGGTGAAGAGCTCAATAAATTATTTCGAAGCTCAATAATAAGTCAAGTAAAAAAAACACAATGTATGAGTAAGAGAGAACATTGAGGAATTTGAATTTAAAATTGATCAACAATACTTGCTTCAATTCTCCTTTTTACACTTAGGTTCTCTTTGTTTCAATATAAAATATTTTTTTCAAAAAATATTAATTTTTTTCAGATAAAATATATATATTTTAATTGTTTTAGTTTTTAGTGTTTAGCTATGGTCTCGATCCGTGTAAGATTACTTGTTGAAAATTATGAGTAAGTTATTTTTTTTAGATTTTAATTTTTTTTATAGTACATATTTTACGACAACCAAACATCAAAAAATTAAAAAATATTTTAGATCCAAACAAATGAAGCCTTAATGTATCACTAATTTCCTTAACATACAGCATGTCTCTAATGTTAAATATCATCCAGTGTGCAAAGTGCTACTTTCACATAAGAAATATTTTTTTTTGTTGATTTGAACTTGTCACATTCCGATCACAATAAAGCAATTCACATATATATATTTGTAATAGTACTAATGAGAGAAGAGATATGCGAAGATACACTACAAGAAAAACAGTTTTTTACCACGCCCTTTCTACCACAGTTTTAAAAAAAAACTGTCGTAGAAGACCCTTTCTACCACGGTTAATGAAAAACCGTGGTAGAAGAAAGTCTATTCTTTTACCACGGTTATAAAATAACCGTGGTAGAAAGTGAATTATTTTTAATGTAATTTAGGTAGGTCTTTGTACCACGGTTATTTTAAAATCGTGGTAGAAACGGAATTATTTTTACTATAATTTAGGCGGGTCTTATTCCCGCTAGTTTAATTAAAAAATAAATAAAAAATAAAAAATAAAATCATGTATACAATCCACACAGAAATATCACACAGAACATATCGATCTGTACACGGCGCAGCTTAGACAAAAAAGTGTCTCTCTCCATCAAAACCCTCTTTCTCTCCAAGCCACCGATCGAAGCCCCTAACGATGATGAAGCACTACTGCCTCATTTATAAACCTTAAGAGGCTACTCTCGCCTCTCATTCACTCTCTCGCTCTACAAAACACTCTCTATCTCCTCCTGAGGTCGGCCAGCGAGAGAGCTTTCTGAGTCTTCGATTCTTCTTCGTCTGCGAAAGGTCGGTTCTCTCTGTTCCTCTTTCTCAGCATCTCCTAGGGTTTCTATAGATTTTTGTATTATTCTTTATTTGAATCTGAAAAGTTTTTTTGTTCCTATGACTGTGTATAGTAATTGTTGAAATATATTATATATATGTACAGATCTGTTGTTTTGAGCTGATTTGTGCATCTGTAATGTTATTTTTGTACGATTAGATTCATCTGTGCAGTGGATATGTATTTTTCTTTTCAGATGCACTAGTACCGGTAGATGATTTTGGATATTCTGTTATGTATTGAATTAGGCTTTGGTTGACCTAGTAGATTTGTATGTGTGTTTTAAGTTCACATGTATATTCGCTTGACATGCTTTTGATGCGATTTCAAATTTTGATGTGGTTAGGAAGATATTTGTTTGCTTGTGTAGCGACTGGAATTTGATAAATTTGTTCCGATAGTTTAATTGTGTATTGGGAGTGAGTTTTAGGTATCTAATCTGTAGATCGCTAGTTTGCTGCTTTTGTCTAATCATCATCAATTTATTCTTGCTGCTTTTGTCTAATCATCATCATTTTCCCATAGAGAAATTGAGAATCATCTCCAAACCTATTTAATTCTAAGGTTTTGAGGATCAAATTCTTAAATCTAGTTTGATCCTTGACTAATAATCTTAGCAATAAAAGTGTTGTTTCAGCAATTCAACAATATATATAGTACTTCAATGCATTTTTATGTTTTGCAATGTGTGTTTGCGCGAGCAAAACTGTATCAAAATTTTTTTTTTTAATTTATGTTGACCATATATTTAATTGGTAGCTTGATGTTTCTCACATTTTTGCAATACCTTTGCAGGGGCCACACCAAAGGCTATCTTGCAGATAATGAATATGAGGGGACTGACTCTTTACCACTTGAAGAGTCACTTGCAGGTTTATTATTTGACTATTTTAATCCAATTTTTAAGAGTACTTCAAATTGAAAGTGAGGATTTAATAGGCCACACCAATGCGTTCATGACCTATGTTTGGCAGAAGTTCAGACTTGGTAAGCCTGTGGGGAAGCTGTGGAAGGTGTCACTCAAAGATGGTAGGTTTTTGTTTAACCCCACACTTCCTCTACATGCTTGTTCCAATTATGCAAAATATTAGGAAAATATTTTTAATAAATGCTTTCTACTGCATGTTTTAGAATTTTAAAACAATGTTGAAAGTATGTTCATTAAGATTACTTTAAACAATGTTGCAGTTGGACAATCAAATTCTAATAAGGAAAAGAAAAAATACTACTAGAAATGCTATGGAGGACATGGATTCCTTAGTTTGAAGAGATTATATGAGGCAAATTTCTATATTTGTTCTGAAAATTTTAATTAGTAAAAAGCAGTATTGCCGTGCAGTGAAGTTGAAACTTATGTTCTTCTTTCATCATTAATGTATATCAGATGAGTAAACTTCAACTCATGTTTAAGCTGAACATTTTTCTGCCCAGGCTACAAAAAGAAAACCACCTCTGCTGGACCAGTCTTGGAGGGCTCAGGATCTTCCGGGAGCTCAGTGCCATCAACGATTATGAATGAGTAAGATATATAGAAGTTACTTAATTATCTGTTTGGTTTACATATTCCATTTTGTACAATTATCATTAAGCTAACATTTCCAACCTTTTTTCTTTAGGTCTCCATCAGAAAATGAAAGAAAGATGCATGAGAAAACCGAGGTAATTTCCCCTTTCTAGATTTTAACACAGCTATATATGTTCAGTTAAATTAGAAGGAATTACTTTGAATCCATTTAAAGCACCTGATTAGTATATACCATTTGAATTTCTTTGGCAGTAATAAGGAATGCTCAAGAAATAACATTTCTCCTACTACAGTAATATATTGTAAGAGTTGAGTACAAAAAAATGGATCAACCACTTGATTCTGTACATATTAGTAAAAATTCCATTAGGCCAGCTAGATTTGGACCATTTGATTTGAACATTTTTTCCCCTTTTTGTAGCATTTTTTTTTCCTTGTTTTTGGTAGGTGCCCCAAAACCCAATGAGAATTCCGGAATACCTAGAAGAATCAATTCCAATATTACTTAAGAGGGGAATTCACATGCTTAAGAAAAGGCCTTGGGAATGTTCAAGGCTGTTGAAGCCTACCCCTTGGCAAATCCTGATGCCTACAACTAATGCTGCTAAGAGTGTATATTGAGATATATATGGTCTGATGATTAAAGTGCCTTTTCTTTTTTCTTTTTCTTTTTTATTGCTTTCAATATGTTTTTTCACCCAGTCAAAAACTGCTTTTGGCTTTTGATTGTCTGGTTGCTTGTACGGTTGGATTTGATAAAAGAGTACTATTCCAATAAATACAAATGTTTATGGTTAATGAGCTATTTGTTTTGGAATATGGAGGTGCTGTAAATGAATCTGCAAGCTTCTAATTGAGTCTTCCTATCATTTCTATCTGCATCAATAAAACAAAATAAAAAAATTTGGGCTCTTGGCATGATCACCTGTTTGGGCCGCAACTAAATTCAGTTCTGCCAATTCATTTTGCAGCATTAAGAAGTTCAAATCACTAATAACTAATCAGTTGAAATCAGATTGAAAATTCTGAAACCAGGAATGTTGATGTACACTCTTCAGTCAGTTGCTCTTAGGCAGTTGGTGATGAGTGGAACTCCAAGGTGCTTTACAAGGAGAGTACCTAAGCCATTTCCTAGTAGCTTTCAATGTACCTTTATTATAATGCTTGCTTTGCTTGGTTTAATTTTGGCAACTTTACAATTTGCTTTACATTCTCTTACTTCAACTATTACATCTTTGTAGGTCAAAGCTAGGATTGCGGTTGCCGTTACTTTTTTTGTTGCCGCTATATATTTTGTATGGCTCATGAAGAAGTTGCATATATGGAAGAGAGAGACTTCATAAAGTAAGAAGATATAAAGAATGTTTGTTTTATTTTGGTTAAGTAAAGATGTAAGGTGTGGTTCATGTATTTCTCTGAAATTTGTTGTATATGGTTAATTTTTGTATAAAACCATGATTTGGAATTGGTTATATATATATATATATATATATATATATATATGATGTTATTGGCCAGTTGTAAGTTATTTTAGTTATGATGCTATTTTTTTATTTATTTAGGGTTTGTTTCTGGGGTCCTTGCAAGGCTAGTAGTAGGGGAAAAAAAAGGCCTCATAGGGGCTACATTACTTTTTTAAAAAAAATTATACACTCTTTTTACCATGGTGCGGAATTGTGGTAGAAAATCTCTACTTACTACCACGGCTGTTTCCACCACGGTTCAAAACCGTGGTAGAAAACGTTTTCCACCGTGCTAAAAAGTCATTTTTCTTGTAGTGATATATATATATACCAGCCAAGGCATCAAGAAGTGTTGATTTGCCACAGCCGGAAGGACCCATGATAGCCAAGACCTCCCCGGGGCGAGCGTAGCCGGGGGGACCTTGAAGGATGGATCTACTGCTATTTCTTCCATCTGCAACCGTAACCCACAGGTCCTCCCATGTCAAGAAAACCCCACCATCCTCCATATTGGTTTCAACTCTAGGGTTTTGCACTAAAACAGTACTTCTACTTTCTACCTCTAGTGGGTTCCTCCTAATTTCTGAGCTAGTTTTCATAGATCTTGAGCTCATGCACTGTAGTTCACAGTTGCTAACATAAGCATTATGCATGGTGATGTATATTTACTAATATATATAGACTTACAATACAATATATATATATATATATATATATATATTGGGAAGGTTATATATAGACTTTTTAAGTGTAAATGAAAATATATGAAGTTGGACATGTGAATGAAGGTGAGGCAAGAGAAAAGTGTGTTTGACACCTGACAAGTAATTAAAGTGACGGGGATAGGAAACTAATCATGTGAGAATTTATTATGGTGTAGGATGATTGGTTTCCATCACTAAGGCCATTTGTATCAGTCTCTCCGAATTTTAACTCTTTAAAAATGTTACATCAATTTTTTTAAGAGCCACGTTAGCACCTTTCGCTCATCATGTAAGAACTTATTATGGTGTCGAATGATTGGTTTCCATCACTAAGGCCATCTGCACCAGCCTCTCCAGATTTTGACTCTCTAAAAACACATCAATTTTTCTAAGAGCCACGTCAGCAATTTTCGCTCTCCAAAAACATGTACTCCATCAGGCTCTCCAAATTTTCGCTCTCCAAAAAAAATTTATAATAATAAATTAAAATTAATTATTATTATTATTTTTTAACTTTTCCTAAACGGTTATATTTAAAACGGTTTTATTTTTTACAACGGTAATATTTTTCAATCAAACAATATTTTTACAAATTATTAAAAAAAACTACGATTGATATTATAACTTTGAACAATACATTATCCATTATGGATTAAAAAAAACAAATTAAACAAAACAATTAAAAATAACTTAAACAATACAATATCCTAAATTGGAATAAGAAAATAAATAGACCAAGGATTACAAAATCGGGAACTTTGGGGCGGACCGTGTATTCAAAGATGCCAATATCTCATTTTGTCGTGCAATAATCCAAGCTTTCCCCACTTCTATTGGTGTCGAATTTAGATCTGTTAACATGAGCTCATTCTCTTCGAGTCTCTGTTTATCTAGAATCTCTAGCTGCTTCGTCTTCTCTTTCTCCATTTTTCTTACCTTTTGTACCACTTGGGCATCCTGCATTTTCTCCTAACGACTCTCAAAACGGCTAGTGATATTATTAAATTTCAAAACGAATGAAGTTTGTAATTCATTCGCTGAATTAATTTTTGCTCGACATTGCTTTGCCGCTTTTCTTCCTGCTGGTCTTTGTAGTTGCTGATATTCTTCCACACCAGGTGAATCATTTTTCCCTATGTGTGGTGATTCTTCAGTTGAAGCTCCATCTGTCGTGGCTGCATAACTTGACGGAGTAGATGGTAATGAGTACCCAACAGACTCATTAATGTCAAAGTCAAATCTAGTCCTCTTCTTCGACTCTTTTTTCTTTTTTCCTTTTTCTACTTGTTTGGCATAATGTGAATGCCATTTATTGTTATGCTTCAAGATCTCCTAGCAACTTTCTAACTTAAATTCAGCACCTGTTTGGCTACGAAACAGGTCTTTAGTTGCTATCATCTACACGAAAAAATTAACAAAAAATTAAAAGCCGACTATTTAAAATATTTAATAGTTATATTTAAATAATAAATAACTCATCATATCATCATTGCTGAAGCTGCTAGGACGATTCATTTCCATGGTAGTCATGCAGCTGGAAAATTTGCTGATTTTTTGTTGGATCACTGATCAATGATTCATTAAACCTCCATCATTTCGCTCAGTTGGAACACCAATATGTTGTTTATATTGTTCCAGAATTTGCTCCCATAACTTCTTCTTATTTTGGTCTGCCCCCGCAATCGCATTAGAGGTAATGGACATTCACGCCCAACATAAAGCCTCATTTTCAGCCTTGGTCCAATTATTAAGTCGAATAGCCGGTTGTTTTGGCAGGGGTTTTGAGTTACTTGATTGTGGAACACTAATACCACAATCATAATGAGAAGTTTGGAATGGTTGATAAGAAGGTTGGGATGGTTGCTGATAAGGAAATTGAGAATCTCCTCCATAATAATTGATATTGTCTTTGGAAAATGGCAAAAACTTATAATTTGATGGGTTGAATTGGGTGTTGTAATAAAATGGATGTTAGGGACCCATAGAATTGAAATGACTTTGAAAATAATAGCTAAGATTGAGAAAATAGAAGAAGAAATAAGTTGAACGGTAGATAATAGAGATTTTAAAATTTTTAATTAATTTTTTTTTTTTTTGAATAAAGTTAAAAAAATTTGAATTTTTAAACTTTTTTTTAAAATTATAGCCGTTAAAGCACTGTTTGTGTTAGCCAAACAGTGCCTACACATTTAAAATTTAAAGCAAAATTTTTTTTAAAAAAACCAAATTTTAAGGGGAAAAAAAAAAAGGCTTTTTAATTTTTTTTTGGCCCCAAAAAATTTTTTTTTTTGGACAAACAATGCCTAAATAATATATTTTTTATTTAATGAATTTTATTTTATTTTTTCCCAAAAAATAGAGCCTAAATAACCTATTTTTAGGTTTTTTCAAAAAAAAAAAAAAAAATCTGCCAAACAGTTCCTTAAGGCACTGTTCAATAACTGTGCACAGCTGTTGGAGAATAAAACAAAAAAGGCCTAATGCAAAACGGTGCCGTTTTGCATTAGGAAAAAAAATAAATACCGCGATTACGGGCCGGCTCACTGAATACTGCGAGTCGGCCGGCGATCGTTAGTGGGTCCCCCTTCGTTTAGCTAGGCCGTTGTGCGGCCTTTAGGCCATTGGCTCGCGAAAATTGGGCTTCCGTATCGTTTTGCATTAGGAAAAAAAAAATTATAGCAATCGCAGGCCGGCTCGCTGAATACTGCGAGCCAGCCGACGATCGTTAGTGGGCCCCCCTTCATTTAGCTAGGCCGTTGTGCGGCCTTTAGGCCATTGGCTCACGAAAATTGGGCGTCTGTAAGTCCGCTGCTGATGCTCTAAGGCCTTCTGTTGTAGGCATCAATTTTGCCATCTCGTGTCTTGGTCATGTTGCTGGGGCGTTGTTGCTATTGTGTGTGGGTTCCAGTTCAGTTTTCTCTATTCCTCTCTCTTTTATCGTAAGGAGAATCAGGCAACATGTGAACAACTTAAAAAAAAAAAAAAAAAAAAAAACTCATGAATATGAAGCGATTCAATTCATTTCACATCAATAACACAGAAAATTAACATGGTTCAGACACAAACATATATAAATAATTATTATTGCATTTTTACAATATTTTGAGTACACATGCATGCAGTGACGGACCCAGAAAATTTGGTGAGGGGGGGCGAATTTTTAATTTGTGGGTACAAAATTATATGATGGGTTTATTTTTGTAATTTTAGTAGGGTTTTTTTCATAAATTTTAAAAAAATTTAAGTATAAAATGAAAAAAAAAAAAAATCAGTGGGGCAAATTATAATTATAGTGGGGCATCTTCATAAATTATCAAAATTTGAAGTATAAAATGCTAAAAAAAAAAGAATCCAGTGGGGGCGAATTGTAATTTTAGGGGGGGCATTTTCATAAATTTTAAAAACATTAGGGTATAAAATGAAAATATTAAAAATTCAGGGGGGGCATCTGCCCCCCCTAGTCCCCTGCTGGGTCCGTCCCTGCATGCATGCGAGTATCACAACACGCGTGATATATTATAGTTGATTCAGTTTAATGTACTACGACACTTTCTTCTAAAATTATTAAAGCACAATACAAATTGTTAGGGCACAATTAAGAAAGTCTGTTTGAATCGGGTAGAAATGACACTTGTATTTAAGGTTAATGGAATGAACTTTTGATAATTTAAACTCGAATTGACAATTAAACTTGTATTGAAATTCATACTTAATTAACGAATAATAATCGTGTCAAGTTTAAATTTGATGAATGATAATCGTGTCAGAGTTTAAATAGTCTTATCTTGACTCCACTGGATTTCAATTTCAAGTGAAATGATTAGTTTAACAAATTTCAAGACTAACCTTGAAGGCTTGAACGAATTTTTTAGTTTAGATCAAGATTAATAAAGTGAAGTAGTAATTATATATAAATCCAAATATTTTTAATATATATAGGGCGAATTGCAAAAAAAACCCCTCAACTTTCACTTGTTTGTAAAAAACTCTTCTTATGAAAGTCTTTAGCAATTAACTCCCCTCAACTATCACGAGGGAGTTATTTTAACTAACCTCTGTTAGAATGATTGTGTGATAAAATTTTCAGACAAAATTATCCTTAAAATTAAAACAATATATTAGTATTACTAAAGTACCCACCAGTCACTTTATTTTTATTTTTTTAACTGCATAAAATGCTAAAATGAGGCCTCTTATTATGAAACAAGGCCTTTGATTTTTTCTTTCGAAATGCTCTTGCATTTGGAATATATATAGTAATATGGTAGTTATTTATCAAATGTCAACTTAAATTGATTTTGGTGAAAAAAAAAAAAAAAAAAACGTGTACCATAATATTTTTTATAAAATAAGATAAAGAAAGAGATATATATACAATAGATCCAAAAATATCAGTACCATATTTTTTATAAAATT